TTCATCTTACAATTGAATTTTATAAAAACCTAAATTATTTTTAATACCACATACTCGTAAATACAATAGCCGATGCTTGAAAGGGAGATGTAAGGTCATCAAATTGCTGTACTTAAAGTAATCTCACATGAGTAGAAGTACTTACCTATTATATATAAATGACATTTATATACTTATAGTTAAGTTCATTAACTTAAGTAGACGTTAATTATTCACAAATTTAGATAATAGTTTATAAAATGGAAAAGGTCAATTTTTAAAGTTCCCATCTACTAATATGCGTATCACCTATTCCGACCTATTCCGAAAACTAGTTAAGTAACAAATATCAATCAGAAATTAATTAACGAAAATGGCTTATTTATACTATGTATATCATGAGCAATGTGATGTATACATAGAACTTGGCAATAAGGTGGAGCTCTGAATTAAAGAAAAGATAGTCAGCAAGGTCCATACCGAAAATGAAATCATGGATAAGCACAAATATTAGAGTGCTAAGTAACTATCTAACACACTTTCTATTTGCTAACAGATATATTTAAAAATATATATTCAGTAACATAAAAACAAAGGAATTCAGCTGTGTTTGTTGAACCGATGCGATTAATGTTGAGCATACAGTTTTTAAATGCGGAAGATCGCAAGGAAGAAGACTCTCATTAGAACAAGTAGAAATACATTTTACTCTCGAAAATATTATTATAAAGATTAACTAGATGAAAAGTTGCATTAGCATACAACTGGAACAAAATCACTTAATATATCGAAAATATATCGAAAAATATATATGAAAATAAACAAGAAAAATAATCGAGAAGTTCTATCTTGAAGTAATGTTTCGATATTTCTAAAATTGAATTAACTAGATAAGAAGTTGCATTAGCCTACAACTGGAACAAAATCACTTAAAATATCGAAAATATATCGAAAAATATATATGAAAATAAACAAGACTGACACACATTGAAATAAAGGAAAAATAATCGAGAAGTTCTATCTTGAAGTAATGTTTCGATATTTTTAAGATTGAATAGACCTTCTTGATATAAAGAAGTTTTTTCAGTCTGTGCAAATTGTATATGCTACTATAATCTAGTGACATAGTGAAGATATGTTGAATATCTTTCACCCTTTTTTCCATAAAAACCAAACAAAAAAAAAAACGAATTATCTTAAAATTAAAAGATTATATGGAATGTACAGAAAAAAATTGTCATTCCTAAAGTTTCTACAGCTCTGAAAAAGAATGAATATGAGATATGTAGTTTATGAGTTATAGTGTTGGTTGGAGTGGCGGTCTTGTTTACCCAAGAAAGCCCACTTGAGCACAAATAATGGCCCGTTGTGGTAAAGAGTTATAGTGTAGGAGAGTCTAAGTTCTAGAGTTATTCTAGAACTGTAAACTGGCCGATAAATAAATATTTAAAAGAGAAAACTTGTAGACATTTTGAAATTGATATTTTCGTCATTATAAAATATTGAAATATGAAGTTATTTAGGACATTTCTTCTTCTTTTCTTTATACTATTGTCATTTATATCTTTAATATATAACTCTGTTACTTTATTATGATTTATTTAATTTTTGTTATTAATTTATTGTAGGTACCAATTGAAAGAAATCATTATTGAGTGTAGAGAGAGTTTAGGGACTAATTGAAATAATTCATTATTGTGTGTAGAGACAGTTTAGGGACTACAGCGAGTGGATGCTATATATTTCTTAATAATGAAAGAATAATTGTTATACTTACCTTATCAGATTCTAATACTGACTTATGAGGTGACTAGATTTTAAGTTCGTTGTCCCTTAAGTCTGGGCAAACAGTTTTAGTATACTAAAATATTTGGACTTTAGGAGCAAATGTGCATACTTTTGTGTGGTTAAGTTCACATAACCATAACAAAATATTATCTCTTAAATTTAAGCAGAATCAAAAAGTGTCAAAATCGTATTAAAAATGTGACAATTGTGATATATTGAGCAATTGTGTATAAAATGCCTCCTGGTCATAATTAGGAAGAATTCAAAATTATCAAAATCATTCTGTTATTGACTGTCTATATATCGAGGTCCTTAGAAAAAATTAAGAACCAATTATTGTATATTATAGTAAGAAGTTTCAAGTCAAAAAAAATAAAAATATACATTCTTTTTAATATCACTTCCGTGATGCTTCACATTGATTTCACTTTTATACTTTGAACTACTTTTGATTTTAAAATGAATATGAAATATAAAAATTCATTTTATAAACATTTCTGTTTCACTTCACTCAAGATACATCTACTTTGTATTCAATATTATATATTGTACAATATTTATCTTAATGTATTGCATATTCAATGAATCCATGCTGTGAGCTTATCGTCCATATCTTAAAGGTAGGATTAAAATATTTGAAATCATTGCAAATCGCGCTATTTCACTATTTATCGTTATTACCAAAAAAAAATCGTGGGAAATAAAAATAAAAAAAAAAATAAAATAATAAAAAAAAATCAAATCCAATATTTTATGTTACAGAAAACCAAGAAAAAGGCGAGGCCAATATGTTCAATAAAAATAGCTTCTACAATAGAAAATACTCCGCGACATAAACGACGAATGGACATGACAACATGTTTCCCCCCCCTTAATGCCAGCAATAACGAATTTTTGTATCTTGTATCTTTTGTATTCACTGCTCGACAGTTCATTCAGAGAAGGGCGCAACAGTGGGCGGTTAAAATGTTGAAATCAAATTCCTATACCATTACGTGTGTGTATGTAATTTTTTAAATGAATTCAAAAAAAAAAAAGGAAAAAAAAATAATTATAATTTTTAAACAATTTCCACAAATAATTTTTATTTTTATTTTTATTTTTTATTTATACCCTTTTTGGCTCTGATCTTTCTTTTGTTTTAGCTGTGCTTTCTTTGTGTTTGTCAAAGTATCTTTTGCCATATTTCATAATTGTTTATTGCCAACGTAACAATTTTTATAGAAAAATTGATAAAAAAAAAGAAAAAATTTTAAAATTTTAATTTTAATATTTTTCTACGATTTTTTATTAATTTTTTTGTGTTGTTTTTGTTAATTTTTATGCGCGCAATTATGCTTCACATTGGCTTTTGGTCGAGATGTCAGACTTTGTTTTGCCTCAAGTTATTGTTATTGTTATTGCCGCTGTTGTAGGCATTTTTAGTGAAGATGTTGCTGCTGCTGCTGTTGTTGTTGTTGTTGTTGTTGCTGTTGCTGTTATTGTTATTGTTATTGCGGCAGTAGTTGAAGATGTTGCTGTTGAGGTTTACGAGAAGCTGCAATGTCAATGGCATCGTTGCTGCTTACAAAATAAATCTTCGGTTTCACTTTTGGCCAAAGACTTGCAGTGTTAAAAGTAGTTGTTTTCCTTAGTCTCATCATTTTTTTTTTTCATTGCATTTTAACCAGCAAAATCTGAAGTTTTTATAAACTGAAATTTTTTTTTCATTGAAATATTATATAAAATACTCAATTTCTTCTGTTTTATTGCTCTGTGCATAATGCAATGTCCCATTCGTTTCGTGCCACTTGAGTTTTCGATTTTTTTCTGCTTTTTTCTTTATAGATATTGCTTAAAGGTTTACTTTTCTACGTTTTGATTGTTTTTACTCTATTTTTAAATTTGATTTTAATAGACTTAATAGGTCTTTTGGTGGGCGTGTTGTGGTTAAAAGTTACTTGCGCTGAGTTAAGTATCTATAATTCATTTCTTTCTTCTTGTAGATGTTTTGTTAACCGTTGATGTAATCGTGATTATTGTTTTTTATTTCTATTACAAGAAAGTAAAATTTCAAAAAGGTTAAGAAATTTTAAGCTCATCAACTTTAACGGATTCTTTAATGGTTAAGATTGGTCACAGTTAAATCGTTTGTGTTGTAAGTAACGATGAGTTGAAGCAAATAACAAACAGACGTTTTATTGTGTGAAATTACAAGGCGCACATACGATTGGGTCACATACCACATACCGACATCCTGCACTAAACATTGACATGAAACCATCACATTACTCGACAGCACAGGTAACCGCAAGTATCTTGCAAAAGGACAATTTACGGCAATTGTGGTGGATACTATGTTCGAGTGGCTGCTTACTTCATGAGAAGACATGCCTGTTTAGGACATTTACGTGTATGCATTGTGATATCACTGTGTAAGTAGCATTGTAATTATGATTAAAAGGGATCTGCTTTAATTTTTATTTTAGTCAAGGATAACTATCGCGGTGCAAAGGTTTCAGTTCCACTTTGTGATTGGAATGAAAAGGGAACTTTTTTTAATTTCAATATTAACGACATCACATGCATACTTGAAGAACAGAATAATGCTGATGAACGCCTTCTGTTGGACTATAACACAGTATATATTATTATAAGAGAAGATAATGATATGTGACAACCTATAAAATCTAATGTACAATCTCTATAGAGATTCTCTTTAGTTAACTTTGACAATTAAGGCTATTGATAAACTTAACCCTGCCTTTTGGAGTAGTAAGTGTTAAACATAAAGTTTATTGACATCAGATCTCTTATGGTTACTTTCAAAATTACTTTCAGTCATTTTTTTAATTTTGCAATGCATTTTGGGTCTATATCTCAGCCGTCGTTTCGTTTAATGAAACTAGAATGGAGGTACTGGATTCGTTTCTTAGCAATCGCAATGTACGAATAGAAAATATATGGGTAAAAGCTTCAAACCACATTTTTCAGAATCTACAGGAGTCAGTGTTCTTTAGTTTAATATTATAAAAGTGACTGTTAGCAGAGGCATATCTAATTTAGAAACCAGTGATTAATTTAAG